TTGTAGGAAAGAAAAGCGGAGATCTTCGCCCCTGTCAAGACTATCGGTACATCAACGACTGGACAGTTAAGAATGCTTACCCTCTTCCGCTACCACTTTCATTAGTCGCATGGTTGCATGGTGCCAAATACTTCACAAAGATGGATGTCTGTTCTGGGTACAACAACATTCGTATTCATCCCGATGATAGATGGAAGGCTGCCTTTACCATGGAATATGGTCTTTTTGAACCAAATGTCATGTTTTTCAGCCTCTGCAATTCCCCTGCCACCTTCCAAGCATATATGAACTGGACGTTCCAACAGGAAATTAATGAAGGATGGCTCGTCATATATATGGATGATATTTTGATCTTCTCCAATGACCTCACCTCCCATCACAAATGAACCTGGCGCGTCCTTGAAAGGATTCGCCAGGAGAAACTCTTCCTCAAACCCGAGAAATGCACATTTGATGCACAAGAGGTAGAATATCTTGGAATGATCATCTGCCCCGGGTGTGTGGCAATGGATGTTGCCAAAACCGACAGTATTTGTGATTGGCCTACCCCCACAACAGTAAAAGAAGTTTGGTCATTTTTGGGATTCTGCAACTTCTATCGAAATTTCATTTCCCATTATTCCGACATTGCTAGACCCCTGATAGACCTCACCAAGAAAGATGTCAGGTTTCTTTGGTCAGAACAATGCGCATCAGCCTTTTCCACTCTGAAAGAATGCTTCCTCAAGCAACCGGTACTTCGAAACCTGGATCCGAGTAGGCAGTTTGCAGTAGCAACTGATGTGTCGCTCGTTGCTATGGGTGCAGTATTACTACAGACTGATGAAAATGGCATTTACCACCCATGTGGATACCTGTCACAAATGTTGAATCCTGTGGAATGCAACTACCAGATTTTTGATCGCGAACTCCTTGCTGTCATCCATGCTCTGACTGAATGGCGTCATTATTTGGAGGGGAACCCTCACCCTGTCATCGTTTTCACAGATCACAAAAATCTGCTGTATTTTCAAACTGCCCAGAAATTGACTCAACGACAGGCCCGATGGCAGTTGATTTTGTCCTGCTATGATATTGAACTCCACCATGTTGCCGGGACTAAACTTGTCGCCCCTGATGCACTCTCCCGTCGTCCTGACCACGGAACTGATTCCTCTGAAGATAATGCCGATGAAACCCTTCTTCCTGACTCCATGTTTGTCCACCTCCTTGATGTTGAACTCATGACCTCCCTTGCAAATCCTGATCCCTCCGACCCCGACCCCATCTTCCAAGCCGCCTCCAATGCCTTGGATGGCCTTTCCCTTCCCCCCATGAAGTCTGCTCTTGCAGATTGGATGATTAGCGACAATATCCTTTACTATAAGAACCGTGCTTACATCTGCCCTGCTGGTCAGCACCTTATTCTAGAACGTTGTCATGATCACCCCACCGCCGGTCACCCCAGGCACTTTAAGACTGAAGAATTGGTCAAACGGGACTTTTGGTGGCCCTCTATGGGTACCTATATCCGTAAATATGTCGAGGGTTGCACCCTCTGTCAGCAGATGAAATCTGATACCCATCCGACTACGCCCCCTCTCGTCCCTATCCTGTCTGCTGCTGCAGCTCTGTTCGCCCAAGTCTCTGTTGATCTGATCACAGATCTCCCCCCCTGTGCTGGATTTGATTCTGTCATGGTCGTGGTAGACCATGGGCTTATGAAGGGGGTAATTCTTGTCCCATGCACTAAAACCATTACCTCTGAAGGGGTCGCCAAGAAATTTTTCAAATACATCTACCACAGATTTGGCTTGCACGAGAAAGTTATTTCTGATCGCAGACCACAATTTGTGTCGAAATTCTCAAAAGCCCTTGCCAAGCTTTTGAAATACGATATAGCCGCTTCTACCACTTACCACCCCCAAACTGATGGCCAGACTGAACGTCTTAATCAGGAACTCGAAACCTACCTCCAAATCTATTGCAGAAACCACCCTGAAGATTGGGTGGAACATCTTCCTATGGCAGAATTCATGCATAATCATTGGAAACATGATTCTTGCAACGCCTCACCATTCTTCCTGATGATGGGGTACGAACCAAGAGCCCTTCCTCATACACTTCCCAATTCTACCATCCCTGTGGCAGAAGACAGACTCCACTCACTCCAGAAATCTAGAGAGGAAGCACTTTCCTGTCATAACCTTGCCATGCAATGGATGGCGGAACGAACCCATGGACAGAAATATCACCTGTGGAAAGTAGGAGATAAGGTTTGGTTATCAGGAAAGAACCTAATCATGCAGTTACCATCACGGAAGCTTGCACCGAAGTGATATGGCCCCTTCCCAATCATTGCTGTTCTTTCCCCTATCACATTCACACTCCAATTACCATCCCAATGGAAAGTTCACCCCACGTTTCACACTTCCGAGCTATTGTCCTATCATGAAACAGAGGTTCACAGCCTGAATTTCCACGATCCACCCCCAGACGTCATCGATAATGAAGAAGAATATGAAATTGATGCAATCCTATTGCACAAGGGGATGGGTAAACGAAGATGCTATCTGGTATCCTGGAAAGGATACTCTTCTGCCAGTAACAAATGGATTCCAGAAGAAAACCTTAGCAATGCTGCTGACGCCCTTGTTGCATATAAAAGGGTTCACCGATTGTAAATCCAGAAACCATGTCTCTCGAACACCTACGTCTCTGCATACAATGCATCAAAGAACTCACTGCTGCTATGAACACCATAGCCGAAGGGAACGCCCACCCATTGTCCCTCCTTGATTATCAGACTGCCACCACCATTGACCTCGCTAATAATGCATCCTCACCAGTGGTTTCCCCACCATCATCCGACTCTACCCTTACCAACAACTCCACCCTTACCAACTACTTTTCAATTATTGATCAAGTTGAAACCAGCGCCCTTTTTGAATCCGCTCTCACCTCCCAGCAATACGCTATAGAAATAGATTGTCTTTTAGGAGAAAGAGGAGCAATATCTAGTGGACTCATTATCCGAATCATCAGGGATGCCAGCCTCATCGAGCACACCGCCAACCTTCTTGATGATGAACGCCACAAAACCATATTCCGTCACCTTCATATATGCATTCGTAATACTGCAATCTGTCTGTTGCCTGATGATACTAGAGATGCTATCAGAGAGGCTATTCACATCATCACAGAATGAATCGCTCTTGACCCAGTTGCGCGTCCTCCTTCCCCGCATGTTGCCATTCCAGTCCCACTGCCGGTCCCTGCAACAATTACCATTGACCATCAGAATGATAATATCCCTCCTATTGCTGTACTTGACGTACCAGCTTCTCTGTCTCCTACCCCCATCTCACCCACCACACACAGATACCCTATCTGACGTAGATCCTCCTGTATTGCCACCAAACGAGCCACATCTGTTTCCCCACACAAGATGCTCAAACGATCCAGATGCCCCTCTCCACCAGACCAGTTGACCACCATTGTTACAGTAAAGATGGCACCAGTTGATAATGTAGTGTGTCATAACTGTCGCTCCGCCAGACATCGTCACAAGAACTGTCCAGCATACTACTGTTGAGTTTGTAAGGCATGTGCACCTGGACACCTATTGGTCTTTTGTAGGGAGCTAAAAGGAGAAGCAGTCATTCCGCTGGTATGGACTGATCCTGGCTTCTACGAAGCTCTTGCTCACTGGGAGATTGAGCAGGACGCCATTTACCATGCCGCAGAACTAGCTGATAGGTCGCTCCCTATCACTGAGGAACAGAATGATTTGTTGGACTCGAACTATGACGCTGACCCTATTTACTGGGCTAACCAGGATGACTGAAGTCAGTGACTTCATTCCTAAACGAGGGGTAATGTTACAGTTACACTTGCCCCCTATCCATTTCTCCTATCGTTCACTTCTTTGTATTACATCGTGACTGCTATAAGCCATCGTTAGATGACTCATCTCTTTTATCTGTATTACATCATGATCACTATCGCCGTCACTAGATGACTTATCTGACTTGTCCTTATCTCTGACTCATCCTTATCTGACTTGTCTATCTGACTCATGCTACTTACTATATATACCCGGTCATGTACTCAGTAGATCTTCACTTTAATCTACTAGGTTCTCACCTGAAACATCCTTCATTTAGGACCTCCAATCCTAAGTCGTCTGATCATCAATATTCAAGCCAGAGACACTCTCTTTGGCTTGTCTTAAATGATCCTTACATTTGTAAGGTCTTGATTCAACCTCAGCCATTGCTCTTATTGAGTAGCTGTCGTTGCGACTATCCTAGTTCGTAACAAGGGAAGCAAGGAAAGCAAATCCACAAAGTGACACCAGGTCAACTCTGGTGAAGCATGCTGAAAGCGCGTGCACAGGAATATGGAGTGCATAGGAGCGCGAAGCGTGGGAATAAGGTGCACGCAGTGCACAAATGTATAAAAGACTGATGGATGGCATGAAGACATGAACTAAGGCTGCAGAGATGGGGACTGATGATAGTAGACTGTGCTGATGGCTAGGGCAACAACTAATGCATGCTGGCTGAAGATAATGATTCTAACTCTAGGTCACTACTGACATGATGGTGGTTGGTGTATGAAAACTTCCTAGGCAACAGGTAAGCTGTGCCTAGGCACGCTCCCAGGGCTTGGAAGTGAATAGGGAGTGCTCTAAGTATGTAAAATGATGTAACTAAGGGTCCATGACGAAATCATGTATCATACAATGCTAAATATGGTCTGATGTGAGAATAAACAGGAAAGAACTCACTAGGGAACTGGTTGGATGATGGATGGATGCTCCAGGATGCTGCACAACAAAGTGCAACCAAGCGCAGGAAGAGCGCGCTAAGTGCGTGCGTGGGAATGCATTGCGTAGTGTGGGAATGTGTCGCGCCTCTGGCGCATTTCGCAGGAAAGTCATAGGTAGTGAGTTGCACACTATACCAATCATCATGAGTCATAATATGGGCAATATATGCCTAGAGGATTCTCATTCCCTACACTGGTATGAATGAGAGGTCTGTGAGAGTGATATACTCTTCTGGGTTGTGGGATGGTGGTTGCAAGGAGAAGTATTGATGCACTAGCCCAAAAATATTTGGTGGGGTATGAAAAACTGTGCACGCATGCACAGTGAGTGGTTGAGCTGAAGTGACAACAGATCTGACAGATTCCGGAGGTTGGGCTTGCACTTCCATAGGCACCATGGGTGGAGGCTGAGGAAGCACATCCCTAAATCTTGGGGGCAGCTGGCGGTTCTGACATTGCAGTCTCCGCTGTGCCAAGCTGATGTCCTCCCCTCCATCAATGTCTCTTTCATGATCCAAGGGCGCAATCCCTCCTCCAGAAGGAGGTTGTGCAGGCAGAGGAGCAACCTCTGGCTTGCAATATTGATTTGCAATAGAAGTATTGGCATCACTGGAGCTGAGGTGAGCAGATAGCCCATCAGGCACTTCCCACATCGATGTATCAACACCCACAGGGCCAGGTGAGGTGTGCGCCTTTTTCCTGTGTCCTATGAACTCTCTGAAGGAAGATATAGCCAATGACAATTGCTTTTTTGTGTGGGCGCACAAGCACTGATGGTGATTGAAGTAATTCTGTGCTGTGAAAATTCACTTGCAGGCGCAGGTATAGCTGGATGACATGGATGGTTGACTGGTGCATAAAATCTGCTTTTCATCAGTGAAGGGTTGATGGAATGACATGCTCATAGCCAAATACAAATCAGGATGGCATGGCGTGGTTATCACCATAAAGTTGCACTTCACATCCAAAAGCACTTAGGATGGCGTGGCTACTGTGATATGAACCATTTGCCTATATAATGTCTGAATTCAATTTATAACACACTGCATAACCTGATATGTCTGTACCATCTTCCCCTTGCTCTGAATGTTCCATGCTCACACCCCCAGAATTTGAAGTTGACCAAAATGTCATGAATTTGCTTGTTAGGATCATGACTGCCCACCATGGAATTCTTCATTACCATGGTCAGATGGGGGAACTGTCAACATATTTATGGTAAATTAAGTATTTTCATGAACATCAGTTCCTCACTCACAATGAAACCCACCCAACAGGCTGGCAGACCGGTGTGGACACAAAATCCATCCATTGCAATTTTCAGCTTACCGTGAGGCACATGTATTTCGATATCCATGTTGTCTTTGTGCATCAGGGGACAGATATGTCGAGGCAGCAATTTTCATGTGATCCAGGGGAGTATCCCAAGGGCAGTACATTGCTGAATGTGCAACCTGCACTTGCAGCTATATGTGTAAGTTGATCTTGCAATTTAACAAAGTGGATCACTAATATTTAGGTTAGTAAATGTTGAGAAATTCATCAGGAGACCCTATGTACTGACAATGTATTATCCTCAAAAAAGGAGACCTTGCTCAAATTCAGGACATCCTGACAATTGAGGGTACATCAGAACTTGAATCTCAAGCAATATGTTTGATCTGAATTCTTTGCATTAGGTTATCATACATTTAGATTATGGGAGTGAGATCTCACAATCATCTGCTCCATATGTTACTATTTCACATCATTCTAAAGTCTATGATATTGTCATTGTAAACTGCACTAATACTACGAGTATATTCTGTCCAACCATAAGCAACTTATATACGAGCAGGGCTGCATGGATGGTGAGAAAGGTTGCCATGATGAAGCGAGAGGGCTGATATACTGATTGACATTCAGAATGAAACTCCACCGGCAGCACCTGACTAGCCTAACTTATGATGCCAGTACTTGGCGCCCCTCGACCGGGCATTGCCAACTGGGTTTGAATACCAATTGTCATTCTGTATATCAATGCACCTTGCATACTGATGAATTCTTTCTGACTTCTACCATTTATTTTGACAGTATTAGTAGCTATAGCATGTATATGTAGTATGAGCAGCTTCAATTATGTATAATTTCCGAGATACTCAATTTACACTTCAACGTTGAACACGTTGTCCAAATATATTTGCCATTGAAGACTCCGCCATGATCAAATTGCCAAGCCAAATTTCTTCCACTGCTGTCAAAAGGATAATTGTGAGCATAACGCTATGTAGTAACATGTGAGTCTTTGGGTTTGTTATGTGCTGCAGAAATTGACAATATCATTAACTACAGAATGTCAAAGCACACAGCATGTACTAGTGATGATGAGTGTTCCTAGAAGCAAAAATGGAAGTGTGATGTGCTTTGAAAATTTTCACCACCCTTCCCAATTCGGTTCGTGCCACAGCTCCTGCATCCACATCCACACAACCAGCGATCAAATTCTCCCGGAGCGGTATTCTTGCGATCACATGACTTCAACATCCAAAAAAAAAAATTCGCTAAGTCCAAATGTGCTATAGGGATTGACTGGGGACAGTCAGTAGCTAAGTCCCCTGCAGATGTAGAGACCCCGTCCTCTACAGCCGTATAATAAGCATATTTTCGCGTTTCAGCCTCTGCACTGACACCCCCAATAAGCATGATACATGCACAGTATTTGTGATGATGCGCACTTTGGCACACTTTGGACGCACTATGAACACACTTTCACATCCTCATTGCCAACTGTCCGCATGTCCTGTCCTCATCCTCCAAGGTCTATTGGTACATGTTCTATCTATTTTTACTTCAAACACATATCACAGAGTTACATATGGTATGCAATTACTCATTGCCTCACTATTTTTACTTAAGTTACATCACTTACGATATTTACCGCTACCTATTTGCTTCTGAAGCCTGGGAACACGCTTACAAGGCATTACATGCCTCTGGGTAAATTTTAGTTACTTACTTCCAGTCCACTAGTATCCTGAGAGCAGCAGCAGATAGTTGAATTGACTACCATCTTTGTTGATTTTCGCACTGGAGCTCAGAAAGGGATCATCTCATCTCCATCATCTCCCACCAATCCAAGAAAAAGATCAGTATTGCTTGCCTTGAGGTCTAGAGCCTAGCCACAAAGCACACATTTTCGCATACCTATCGCATCCAGTGCACTTTGGCACCTATCATCACATTCCATACTCTCGCGCTCCACCAGGCCCTCTGTCAAGAGCTAGTTCTTGGCATTTCCCCTCAATTCTTTAGAGGAATCCTTTCTCAGTGGCAATCCCCTTGGGTCAAGTTTGACTCACGTCCAGAGGAGCTCTGAAGAGTCCTTATCTGTAGTTTCCCCCCCCATCCAAACTCCTTGCCTTCAGCGCGCATGAAGTGCTAATGATGGTGAGTCATAAATATGGTCATTATTGTCACTCATGAGCCTGTGTCTGGTAGGGAATTGGTGGATGGTGCCATCACCATTGGCAGATCAAGGTGCATGGTGCATTCTTGAACAGTTCCTCACTACCAACATGACATATCCTCAGATGGAAGAGACATTTTCTTCATACCTTGGTGATCAATATGTTGCAGACGACTGGAAGGATGCCAGAAATGCATTATTCTCTGGCAATGGCGACGACAGCATTGCCTTAACAAACCTTTATGCCTTAAAGGCTAGACACATGCCCCTGCCCTCATCTTCATCAAGGATGAACGGCCACCTCTCAAGCACTCCTGTTCAATGATCGCCTCAATGTCCTAAAGTAAGTGTATTATCATTCCTTATGACTTGAATACTAAATAGATGTAGTCAAGGATAGACTCCAGCACTTGTATCAAACAACCATGTAAATGACCCAAAGTAAGTGCAGTATCATTCTGACTACTTCGCTACTAAAACAACACGTATAGTTGAATCTGTACATCATCACTGTGTTAAGAACCATGTTGCTCAAGGGGGAGAGAGACTAACTCAGAGGGGCTTGGCCTCAGCTCATATGCTGTGCCCCTTACCCAAGTATGTGCCCTTCATTTCATATGAGGTCCGATGATGGTCCAACGAAGTCCAGAGGCTGGCTACTCTGCTGGAGAGTGCTAGAGGACTTCCAGAGGAGCATGGGAGAGTTCCGGAGGAACACAGGAAGTGTTCAGGAGAGTTCCCACTGCAAGGTAATACTTCTATAGGAAACAGGATGGAAGGATAGGAGGTCTGAAGGTCTGGAGGACAGGAGGACAGGAAGACAGGAGGACAGGAGAACAGGAGGACAGGAGGACAGGAGGACAGGAGGACAGAGGACAGGAGGACAGGAGGACAGGAGGACAGGAGGACAGGAGGACAGGAGGACAGGAGGACAGGAGGACAGGAAGACAGGAGGACAGGAGAACAGGAGGACAGGAGGACAGGAGGACAGAGGACAGGAGGGCAGGATGATGGAGGACAGAAGGACAGGAGGGCAGGAGGGCAGGATGATGGAGGACAGGAGGACAGGACATCCGAGGGTTAGGAGGACGGAATGTCCGAAGGACAGGACATCTGGAGGTCTGGAAGAAATAGGGGCTACATCAGACGAAGTCCAATGTAGAAACAAGCAGGGGTAGACTACCCTAAGGTAGAGTCAGAGAGACAGGGATTGGACCTAAGTCTGGAAAGGGGGTAAGTGCTGGAAAGGTGGAGCTCCAGCCTAGGGAATCAATCCCTAGGCCTGATGGGTAGGACAGACTTAGGTGGACCAAAGTCCAAGAGAGGATTGGGCAAGTCTAAGATGATATTCAAACTAAGGAAACTACAGGAGTATCTACAGGGGTTATATACTGGAGACTATCTGAGGGGATCAGTAAGCAAAGGAGCAAGGCTATGTATGAGCATGTGGAAACACATTAGTAAGTAAGACAGAACATAAGTAAATGAACTTGGAGATGAAGACTCATACAAGGATCAATCAGCAAGATGGAACAGGAGGTAACTGAAAGCTGGAAAGGTGGAGATGTCTAAATGGGGATAGGCACAGGATATCGGACAGAGGGTGGGAATAGGTCTGGAGATCTGGGGATCCGGAAGACGAGGTGGATACAGGACTGGAATATGATGAGGTGGATATAGTCTAGAATCCGAGACGAGGTGAAGTCTAGTGTCTTGCTGGATGGAGTGTGCATAGGGTGGATGGGACAGGGGGGTATGGATCAGGCTAGCAGTGGAGATCCAATGGTCCGGAGCTCAGGGGTAAATCCGGAGCATAGTCAATCCTGCTGAGGTATGGAGCACACAGCAGAAGGGGATCTGGGAATGAGTTGGATATGAAGTGGGGTCCGGACATAGGCTCGGAAGGCGTGGGAATATGATGGAACATGGGTCTGGATTGTGGGATATGACACACTGAAGCAAACAAGAAAGAAGAAGATAAAGAGGATGAAGAGGATGAAGAAGGCCCTTCTGTGTGGTTGCTGACAGTCACACACCTTTCTGGCCCATCAGCCAAGGATAGGTTGGCAGCAGCATTCGATAACATTTACAATAGGATCCAAGAGAACCTGCCCTCTTCATCAGAAGGGCACCATGCTCACCATTGCAAGGCCACCTCATTCCCCCAGGCAATTGAAGGCAGAATGTACCTTCCCCATATTCAGAGTATGCTCATCCTTAATGTCATGGTATGCCACTCATTGCATGCCAGGAAATGGCACAGATTATATTGCCGAACACCTTCAGAGTCAAGGATTTATCGTTACTGTGTCCGGTTGGGTAGCAGGCCAGTTGTGTGTTGTCGCAGACAGCCCCAGAACCATCACAGCATTGCTTCCATCCTCACATAGTTTTGCCATTCAAGAATACGTTCGAATCTCAGAAGAAGAACATCAAGTGGTTGAACACGCAAACTCCAAACTTCCTAACCCAGGGTGGGTGAGGATCAAATATGGCAAGTACAAGGGCAACATAGGCTACATTTTTGATTCCGATCAATCTAATGGTCTCATCTCCATCTTAATCGCTTTCTGGGACTTTCCCCATCCCATGCCTGGTGGATCTGTGGCTCTACTTGACCAATGCCTCCTCCCTAATGACCAGGCTGTTCATGATATTCTCCATGATGGGAAAGTTGTGGGGTGCTGTTATAGAGGCGAACAATACTACATGGGACTCTTGTTGAAAAAATTTCACTGCAATCACTTAGAAATTGTTGCCTCTCCTCACACTGATGACATCAAACTGCATATGCAGTCTGCATAGGACATGCCCTTCATCAGGAAAACACTGTTAGTGTTTTTGATGCAATTCTTGCACACAGGCGATTTTGTCGGGATTATTGCAGGAGAAATTCACTCAAAGGTCAGTACAGTCATTTTGACAGATCATGCCTCAGGCTCCACATGCTTGGAAATAATCTTCGATAGACATCAAAGAGAAATTGACATTCAACTGGAGGATCTAAAGTGTATTTTTCGTGTTGGCGACAAAATTTGAGTCGTTGCAGGTCCATACTTGGGTCTGGAAGGCCACATCATTCAAATAAGCAATGATATGTTCCACATTTATCAGGCAGTCTCCAAAGAAGAGGTTGGTTTTATGCATAAATTACAATCTTATGATTCATTAACACTCATTTCATAGGTGCTTGTTTTGAGATACTACTTAGATCGTTGCCCCTTGCATCAGATCTTTCACCCACAGCTATCCATGCAGCAGTGCTTCGAACCTCCCCCTCAGTCCAAATCTATACAAGTAGGAGATCACATAGAAGTACTTGTGGGTGAGCATTTCAAGAAATGCGGCATCGTGGAGTGGTTCCCCACTGGGAGCACAATGCTATGGTTCCGGGATATGGACCCTATGTTATCTGGGGATGATGTGGGTACTAGTGTTGGACTGTTAAGAATTCAAGTTCCTATAGCAGTCATTCAGTGGACCAAGCTCCCTGATACCTTCAAATACACACAGGGAAGGGGCTACAATGTGAGGCCTGGAGATGTCGTGAGTGTTGCTCATGGATCAGAGTATCAGAGGAAAGGGGTTGTACAAAACATCGACTTTCCAAACGCTCACTTGACCTTTCTTTCTGATAGTGATCACTCCCTCGTAAGTATTGATCTTTTCGAGGCAGACATTTCTGACACTTGTGATAGATCAACATCCCAATCAGATTTATGATAAAGGTATGCAACGCGAAGTTGGATTCACTCGATAATATCATTGGCCAAGTTTTCATTGTTGGGGGTGATTGGAAGGGCTACTGAGCCACACTATACAGCATCACTTCAGACACTTGCACAGTCGCTGTGCATGGGCAGGCGCGTATGACTCTCACATGTGATGATGTTGTCACTAGGTAGGTGCTGTGCGTATTTTCTTAGCAACTAAATTGCTTATGACTCTTAGTTATGGGATGAGATTGAATGGGGTGATACTGGAAGGACCAGATTGGGTTTCCTTCTGTAAAATCCGGAAAAGCTCATACACAACAAGAATGCAGCTGCAAAGCATTACCCTCCCACCTGTCCAGCTTCCAGCCAGTTCTTCCACCAGCACAGTCAGTAGCCTATCGTCATGGGCTTCCTGGACCACCAACCCAGAAAATCCTGCACATCACAAATCATCGAGCATCACACCCAGCTCGTCAACACTTGACCCCTGGACTGTCAATCCTCAGGATGCCAAAGATGATATTGACACCAGAGCAGACAAACTCACAGACAGTGGTGAGCATTCTATGGAGCAATGTTAAGAACCATGTTGCTCAAAGGGGAGAAAGACTGACTCAGAGGGGCTTGGCCTCAGCTCATATGCTGTGCCCCTTACCTGAGTATGTGCCCTTCATTTCAGAGGAAGGTCCAATGATGGTCTGACAAAGTCTGGAGGACTTCCAGAGGCTGGCTACTCTGGTGGAGTGCTAGAGGACTTCTGGAGGAGCATGGGAAACATCCAGAGGAGCACGGGAGAGTTCCAGAGGAACACAGGAAGTGTTCAGGAGAGTTCCCACTGCAAGGTAATACTTCTACAGGAAATAGGATGAAAGGATAGGAAGTCCAAAGGTCCAGAGGACAGCAGGACAGCAGGACAGCAGGACAGGAGGGCAGAAGGACAGGATGTCCAAAGGTACAGAGGGCAGGATGTTCAAAGGACAGGAGGATAGGACATCCAAGGGTTAGGAGGACAGAACATCCGAAGGTACGGAGGGCAGAATGTCCAAAGGACAGGATGCCCAGAGGTACAAGGGACAGGAGGTCCGGAGGTCTGGAAGGAATAGGGGCTACATCAGACAAAGTCCAATGTAGAAGCAAACAGAGGTAGACTACCCTAAGGTAGAGTTGGAGAGACAGGGATTGGACCTAAGTCTGGAAAGAGGGTAAGTGCTGGAAAGGCAGAGCTCTGGCCTAGGGAATCAATCCCTAGGCCTGATGGGTAGGACAGACTTAGGTGGACCAAAGTCCAAGAGAGGATTGGGCAAGTCTAAGATGATATTCAAACTAAGGAAACTACAGGAGTATCTACAGGGGTTATATACTGGAGACTATCTGAGGGGATCAGTAAGCAAAGGAGCAAGGCTATGTATGAGCATGTGGAAACACATTAGTAAGTAAGACAGAACATAAGTAAATGAACTTGGAGATGAAGACTCATACAAGGATCAATAAGCAAGATGGAACAAGAGGTAACCGAAAGCCAGAAGGCAGAGAATGCCTAAATGGGGATAGGTGCAGGATATCGGACAGAGGGTGGGAATAGGTCTGGAGATCTGGGGATCCGGAAGACAAGGTGGATACAGGACCAGGATATGAGAAGGTGGATAGGGTCCAGAATCTGAGATGAGGTAAAGTCCAGATATCTTGCTGGATGGAGTGTTCATAGGGTGGATGGGACAGGGGGTTATGGTTCAGGCTAGCAGTGGAGATCCAATGGTCCAGATCTCAGTGGTAAATCTGGAGCATAGTCAATCCTGCTGAGGTGTGGAGCACACAGCGGAAGGGGATCTGGGAATGAGTTGGATATGAAGTGTGGTCCGGACGTAGGCTCGGAAGGCGTGGGAATATGATGGAATGTGGGTCTGGATTGTGGGATATGACAAGCAATCAGATATTTTGCTTATTTTATTGTATTGAAGGCCCTCTACCCTGGTTAATGGGCAAGGAGTATTCCTCAATGCTCTTTCTGCATCACACAGTGTTGAAAGTCACTGTAGGTTTCATGGGAGGCAGATTACACAAACGATTTGTGTTCACAGCTTGTCCTGACCCCTTCTGCAGTGTGAACAGACCCACACCTGAAGATTGTATTGCTGTATTCTGCACATCCAATAATGCAGGGGCTACACTTCAACACTACCACATTCCTGCCAAGGATCTGAGCCCAGCTCCCCCATGCAGAAAAAAACAACAGGTCCTTGTTTTGGAAGGGGATTCTCACGGACATATATTTACTGTCACAAAATGTAATGTGAAGAAGAATAGCATCGAGGTTGCAATTTCACCTACAAGTAGTATTACCCTGCATTTTGATCAGATATGTCTTGTAGAACAGGCACAAAGTATGATGTGATATACTATGTATCAATACTATACTGGAGTAGTCATGAATCTAACTTCGGCATGAAATACATCCTCCCACAGGTGCCCTCTTTCAATTACTCCAGTCCTGAATTTCTTACATACTATCCCTGACCAAGAACTCTGGGCAGAAGCCAGGAGACAATGTAGGGATTTCATATTCTGTGGGCTTGTATAGGCAGATATTACTTAGTGTTATGTTCGCACTTTTGGTGCTTATGTAATCATCATAGTTTTCACCACCTACCAGCACCAGTCTGAGACTGAGAGTTATTAGCATGATTTCCTACTCTCTCTGAGCACTGAGTCTAGTCCAGAAACCCTTTAGGGTTGAATAGCAGCTAGGCATAGCACATTTAGCCCAACATTAGAAGTCTACTTTCCAGTTCTCTTCCTGTTGTGTTTCCCACAATGAGGTACCTTGTGGTATTTGAGCAAGGCCGGTGAAGGTTCAACAACTCTGCTAGGCTTGCAGAGCAAAAGAAAGAAAGAGAACCTCTACCTCTGGGGTGAGAGGAAGGCTACTGACTCTCTAAGCGTTGGTTGAAATGCGCCAAGCAATATGTTTGACCATTAAGGGAAGCAAGGAAAGTAAGGATCCACAAAGTGACACCAGGTCAACTCTGGTAAAGTGCACTGAAAGTGCGCATGCGGGAATGTTGAGTGCATAGGAGCATGAAGCGTGGGAATAGAGCACAAGCTGGTGTGCGGATGTGTAAAGACTGAAGGATGGCATGAAGGCGTGAACTGAGACTGCTGATTGGAGACTGATGATAGTAGACTGTTGCTGAAGACTAGGGCGATGACTAATGCATGCTAACTGAAGATGATGATTCTCACTATGAGATACTAAGTGACATGATGGTGGTTTGTGTATTCTGTGGTGGTTCATTGTATTTGTCTGTGGTGGTTGTATGAAAACTTCCTAGGCCACAAGTAAGCTGTGCCTAGGCATGCTCCCAGGGCTCAGAAGTGAATAGGGAGCACTCTAAGTATGTAAAATGATGTAACTAAGGGTCCATGACAAAATAAGATATCATATAATGCTAAATATGGTCTGATAATGAGAATAAACAGGGAAGGACTCACTAGGGAACTGGTTGGACAATGGATGGGTGCTCTGGGATGCTGCGCAACAAAGTGCGACCAAGCGTGGGAAGAGAAAGCATCGCGCCTCTGGCGCGTTTCATGGGAAAGTCATAGAGGGTAAGTTGTGCACTGTACCAATCATCATGAGTTGTCATATGGGCAATATATGCCTGGAGGAATCTCATTCCCTATACCAGGTACATGGACACCACTGGGCATATGATGCTCGAGGTTGTTGGCACAGTAGTACTCCTCCAACCATCTGTACCTGTACATTATCGCCCTATCCCCAAGATACTTGATTCTCTCTTCCACTTCTTTTAGCTGGTTCTTTGTTCGATGCAGCTCGGATACTTCTTGGTGTGTACAATGTTCACTGGTGCCTAGATGGTTTTTTTTGTTAGATCAATGCACACATCTGGATTTCAAATTCTCACTCATAGTCTGTGTTGCTCTGAATGATTCATTATTTTGATATCCCCTGTATGGTAAGTCTTGTTCTGAGTTTTTATGTAATTGTATCACTTACTTGCAATCAGTGCCAACATCAGAGCAACTATGCATATGCACCGAGGAAATTGGGAAGCTGTAAGTGAATCTTGTATGAGTTTTGTACTATGTGCAATACTGATGGACTTGCCTGAGGGTAACAGTACTTCCAATGAGAATACATTGTCCCAAATGCTGCTGAGAGAGTGAGCCTGGTGTCTGAGGTTCTACCTGTGCGCTGCTTTGCATGATATGGGAATTGTTGCTGATTGTAGCTGCAACAGTGCCGGTTCCCATACCCTATACAGTGGCTCAAAAAACTGTCCACATGTTTTGACATTTTTCACTATCTATGATATTGTGTGAGAAGGAACAAATGCCTCAAGGACATGCTTATAGCACATTGTAGTATGGCTTCAGGGCTTTCATTTGAGCCCTACACCGTGGGAATCGGTGGAGATATGGTGGAGATACAAGGCTCACAAAATGGTGACTCATGTGGACAGTTTTTTGACTCAAGTATTTTACAATAATAACCAGGTATTCTAGTATTTTGTATGACCTCCCTTGGCTTTAATTACTGCCTCTATCCTTCTAGGCATACTCTCAATTAATTTCTGGCAATCCTCAGCTGTAATCTTCCCCCATTCCACTGCTACTCTCTCCCAAAGCTCCCATACTCCTTTAGGGGGGTTTTCATAGGCTTGAAGCTTTTTCTTGAGTGTTCCCCAGAGATGTTCAATGACATTGACATCAGGAGACTGTGCTGGCCAGTCAAGAACATTGATATTATGTTCTTCAAACCATTCCTTAGCTCTTCTGGATGTGTGCTTGGGATAATTATCCTGTTGGAAAATGATATCTTCTTCATCAATCCCTGATTCTGCCAAGCTAGGCAGCAAGTGGTCATTTAAAATGTCCACATACTGCTCAGCATTCATCTTCCCCTCAACCTCAGCAAGCATTCCCACACCATTCCATCCCATACAGCCCCATACCATTAAAAAACCTCCTCCAAACTTGACAGTCCCATTAACCTCTCTGTCTGTTAGGCCATCTCCCTTCTTTTTCCATACATATACCTTCCCATCTGACCCAATCCTATTGATTTTGGT